AGATTTACAATGAGCTACGGCGAACTTAATATTAACTTTGTGCTTCCTAAAACTCTCCCGGGTCGCACTTTTCCAGCGAAAAGTAATTTTTAAAAAAACTTTTTTTTTGTTCTTCCTTTTATTTATTTTTTTTTCCGGACTGCAAACTGCCCCAGCCCGCGCTCCGGCTCTTTTTGAGCGCGTTCAGCCGCTTTCCCGGTGTGATCTCTTCCCCCCCCCACACCTCCCACTACCTTCCCGGCTTCAATCCCCGCATCTCTCCCCCCGCACTGCTTACCGACCCCTTCCCGCTGCCCCCGGTGCCGGGCCGGGGGGGTTCCGCGCTGGGAAAGGCCCTGACATCTCTCTGCACCGTCGGCAAGGCAAAGGGGGGGGGGAAGATATTTTTTGATTTTTACACACAGAAGTCGCTGTAGGTATTTTTTCGGCCCTTCCCGCTTAAGCGCAAAGCTTTTCCCACCATTTCCACGGGAAAACCCGGGTTCGCGTTTTAAACCTTTCCTTAAATCACGGCAATTTAACCCAAGCTGGCTCTCTCTCCAGGTCCAGGGCCGCATCCCTGTCCGCCTTCCCAAGGAGCTGCCTCCCGCCGGGACCCCGCCGCACCGCAGGTAGATGTCCCATCCCATCGCCTCCTCTCCCCCCCCCCAAAAAAAATACAAGCTGGGGCGGCCCCCGCCGGCAGCGGGAAGGTCCGGGGGTTACAGCCACCAAAAGCCGTGATTTTCCCTTATTCTCGGAGAGAAGAATCTCCCCGCACACCCGCCGCCTTTGCTCTTCCTTGCCCAGCTGAGAAACCGGAGCACCTCGCACTCCCCCTCCGTTACTCTATATTTTTTTATTTAAGGAAAAAAAACCCAAAAAGGTAGGGGAAAAGTGCTGCAGATCCCACGGGGGATGCGCGGCGGGGTGCGGAGCCACCCGTCGACACCCGCCCCTCCGCCGCCTGGAAAATCGCTTCGAAAGCAAAATATCTTCCTTTTTCGCTCGAAAAATAACCTAACTTAAATCCTCCTTATTTTTTTCTTTATTTCTTTTTTTTTTTTTCTCACCCAGCGACTCCCAAATACACCCCGAAGAGACCCCCCAGCAGCCATGGGGGGTCGTGATCCCCTCTGCTGCGCCCAGGGGCTTACCCGTGGTTTATATATTTTTAATTTGGGATTTATATACATATATAATATATTTATTTTGCGCCTTTGCAGACGAGCTGCGCTCTTTTCCGTGTCTAATTGCCCAATTACTACTCAGCCGTTCCAGCTCTTCCCTTGGATTAAAGTGGGCCGTGATCGGAATTATACATATTCATATAAATTCTAGCGAAAGCGGAGCCAGTTCTGAGTACCCCCCCTCTCCCCCTTCCCAAGGGGGGTGCTGGGCGTCTGTCCCCCCCCCCTCCCCGCCAGCTCCCTGCTTTTCCTCTGGAACTGTCGCCGCTTTGATGGTGCGATGGCAGAGCATTGATTACAAATCTCTTCTCGGAGCGGGTCTGGGACTCTCTCTCCGTTATTGGAGCCATCTGGGACGGGTTAGGGCCCCGCTCGCGCTCTATCAGCCGCTCGGGCCCTGCTGACGTCACATCAGACGGCTCGGAGCCATCCTGCCCCGCGCCCGGGTGTCACCGCACCGCCGGGATGCGGGGGATCAATCGGCCCCGCAGCCCCCCCCCGCCGGCTCCGCAGCCCCCTCAGGCTCCTCTGGAGTTTCCCGCGGAGGTAATTTGTTTATTTGTCTGTTTGGGACGTGGGGAAAGCAGCAGCGGTGCCGCCCCCCACACACACCCCGCACCCCCCCCCCGCGGCTCCCACCTGGCGCTGCCTTTATCTCAGCCCGATTCCTCCCGGTGCATTCCCTTTTCCAAAATAAATCCCGAGCCAGGCACGGTTCCAAAGGGAGAAAGGAGCCGAGGGAAGGGCGGCGGGGAGCGGCCGGCTCCCCCCTGCTGAAGGCGGGGGCCGGGGGCTGCGGGAGAGCTGCGGGGTCCCGACCCGCCGGGCAGCGCTGCCGGCCAGGGGGGGGTGGCTTTGCACCTGCTATTAAATCCTAATGAGTGGCCGCTAATTGCGAGCTGGGGCTGGCCGCACAGCCCGCCTGGTACCCCCGGCCCGGCCGCACCCCCCGCTTATTCTCACCCAATCCCTACGGTATGATTTTGTACTTTTTGCACCACTTCTTTTTCGTTGTTTTGTTTTGTTTTCCCAAGGAGATAAAATAATAATAATAATAATTGAATAAATACAACTTGATCCTCCGCCGGCTGTTGGGCGGCTGACACTTGTCCAGCTGTGGGCTGCGATCAGCGCTACTACCAGGAAAGCGGGGGGGGGGGGGGGGGGATGAGACAGCA